GAAAACATTCCAATTTACGCTACATTAAGTTTTACAAATTATTTTATAGGATGAATTTTTATTAAGTTCAATTTATTTCGAAAGAAAACCCATACAGATAGGTACCTCAATGGTAATTCCCATCACCATCCTAGCCAGTTAGCTACCGTGGGCATATCTTTGTTTCAGAGAGCACATGGTGTCTGCGACAGTAATCATGGCAGAGGAACTTCAGCAAATAAAGCGAGTCCTGCATGCGAATAAGTTGAAGATTCCACGCCAATGCCGCAGGCCCCGTGTGAAACCACCAACAGTCGAGCGAAGACCTGCCATTTTACCTTACGTGAGAGGTATTACAGACAAGATCGGAAGAGTCCTCAGGCGTGCATGCTGCGAGAGGCCATTGAAATTAAAAAACATCCTAATTTCAAAAGGGAAGATGGTTTCTCCGTACCACCAGTTTGGGATCCAGTATTTCCTCTGATGAAAAATCCCAAATAGACATAAGACTGCAGTACTAATTAATATGTTCTAGTTTATTCTAATTTCTATTATTAATTAATAATAAATTGAACTTAATAAAAATTCATTCAATAAAATAATTTGCAAAATTTAATGTAGCGTAAACTGGAATGTTGTTTGTAAAATTAAAAATAAGGTATTTCATTAATAACTATTGTAACTATAGTGAAAAGATAGAGTGGTTTGCATTAATAATAGACATAATTGGTTGATGACTGTACCACCTCAGTCAACTGTGACCATAAAGGGCCCGAAATGTCGGTTTGTTTGAAAAAACAAATATACGCATTTTAAATCCGGAAAAATTGTTTCAATTCCTATATGTAACAATCGCGAAAACCTAAGAACTCGATATTCGCTTAAAATGTTATCTAAACAGAAATTTCAATGCAATTCAGCCAGCTACATAAAAACTTATTATTAAGAACTTCTTTTAACCGATTTTAATTATTTTCTGTATGCGTCTTAGCTTTTTACAACATTTTAGTTCGAATTGTATTATCCATGGAAGAATACCTAACTTAGAATAAAAACATAAAACCCACCATTTACAAAATCCATAATTGTTGTGTTAGTTTGATGGTAAAACAACAATATAAAATATTTGTCGGTACAACATTGAACCATATCTTCGAGCGCGTAGAGTAGTCACTATTCAGTGTAAGCAAGAATTTCTGTCATAATAAATACTCTAACCGCGCCATGATAAAGGTACATTGTGTAAGACACACCATTTGAAACTGTTGTCTGACGGTGCCTCTGGAATTTATGCTTTACCAATGATGACAAATATTTACATTTATTTTCACCGAGCAAATTAAAGGTTGATCTAGAGCCTAGTTTCCCACATTGCTCCGTACCGGTCCCCAGTGTGCGCTGAAGAGTCCTAGAGAGGCGGTGGGGCCTCGGAAGCAATTTGGGGGCGTCGATGCTGTCCAGGGGATGCTACCACATTTGAAAAAAAAAAACCCTGAATTATCTGTTTATACTATATTACATCGACTCATCCGTAGAACAAAGACCTATGAGCACGACAATTTATTCTCAGAACACTGTACATTTCGTACGTTGTTCTTTGCTATGAGTAATGTTAGTTAAGACAGCAGTAATAAAAGGGACGAATGAACCAGTTCATGTTTGGCCTTAACGCTCATATGGTATTCACCCTAATCCATGTAAAATCATTTCTTTACGATACCAAGTGACGGAACGAACAAGTCGTGCGCCTGGTGGTAAGCGACACGCCTGTCCATAACAGTTGCAGTGTTATTCAGAGCTTTAAATCGCAAAGATCTGAGGGACATTGCCACTTCACCTTGAAGCATAAGTAGACAAGTCTCATGTGCCTGTAGTTTGACCAGCACACATTCTCTTCAAAGCGTTCAAAAATGCTCACATGACTGCTTGGCGGCAGAAACTGTAACTTAGTACTTCCCTGGACGAACTCTTTCACAAGGAGCTCTACTGCTACTAACTTTTTATATTCAAATTGCCTCCGTGACCGAACGCTTACCATGCTAGACTGCCACTGACATAGGTCCCGGGTTCGATTCCCGGGCCGGGAGAAATATTTGTATGGCCTACATTTATTTTTCTCGTGAGTTTGGGTGAAATCTGTGGTTGTATATCTATGTGTCCATGGCACCCGCGGGGCTGAGTGCGTGCGTGTTATTATTATTATTATGTCTGTATAACGTAATAAGAGAATGTTCTTTGCAAATTATTCCTTGAAATAATAATAAACACACACACAACGTACCTACTATCGTAACCTACCATTATCACTGACTGCCCTTTTTAACCGACTTCAAAAAAGGAGGAGGTTGAGAACCTCCTCATTCGACTGTGTTTTTTTTTTTTATGTATGTTACGCGATAACTCCGGTATTTGTGAACCGATTTTGATGATTCTTTTTTATCGAGTTCTTAGGTTTCTTTTTTTGTTGGAAAGAGGATAACCTCCACCGTGGTCCCATCTAATTTTGAAGAAAATCATCCACCTCCAAGGGTGGCTGATCACGCATGAAGATTCTTTTTTTTTTATAAATAGCGCCTAAATTTTATTATAAGGAGCAATTATTTTAATGGTTAATTTTACTATTCTCCAATTCAAGGCGTTTTTATCTCTCACTATACTTTGAGTAGTGAGATCTTATTTTTATTATCTTCTGTGTCAAGTACCGTATAGTAGCGAACTAGGGGATGAATCCGGGTTTGCGGACTTTCCGGTAACCGCCTTCAATAAAACTTGGCAAATAGATGAAATTCCACGTACTTTTGAGGTCGGTTTTTTTAGTACTCTGTACTGAGATTACTAATTAGACAAACCAGCTAACTACTACGGCTAATTTTAAAATATCTATTGTTTTTTGTTGGTGGATACATATTCCTTTTTTGTTGTGTTTTTGTTGTTTAAATTAATTTTACCGGCTAAGTTTTACACGAGGCGATCTGTTCAAATACTTATCTAAGAAATATAATTTATTTTGTTAGATGCTGTTTAAGAAACGCCGTTGATTGTCTGAAATGAATAAAATAAAAAATAGAATCTGAAATTTTCTGTCAGAAATCAGATTGTATGTGAAAAATTTAACTTCTGTCCAACTCACTCACTGCTGATACCGCATTTAGCCCTTAAATTCGGTTTATTCTCCGAATCATTAGAAAGTTTACACGGAAATAAACAGACGGTGTTTGAACTGCCTTCGTAATATTTTCATAAGACTTGAAAATTTAATTCAGGAACTTTACGCGCGAATAAACAAAACAAATTTGTATTTGATGATTTAAATTCACAGGAAATTGAGAATTCAACAAAAACTCGGCTGTGAAAGGAAGGTTATTTTGGACCTTGAAATAGCAACTCTAGGAATGGCTTTTAACGCCGATGTCCGTGTTGGCAGTAGAAAAATTACATAAAATTCTGACATGACGAGAGTTCATAACAAACTTGTTATTTTTAGTAAAAGGCATTATCCAAATCCCACAGCGCTAAACTATGATATTTTGACAGACGGACAGGCAAGTAATTGTACAAGGTACAAGACTTCACTTCTGCCTGACAACCAGCTTTTTGATTTAGAAGGTCAACTAAATTTTTTTGTTTCAATAGCAAATTTCAATTTACGATTTTTTTTAAGTTGTTAAATCGTCTTGAGTGTACTAATACTCAATTTGTGACGATACTCCTCCCAACGTCATTCTGCCTTTTTATCACCTTTTCTCTAGTTCCTGGCTACTTGTTTTCAATCGTTTAGAATCGTTATTTAATCCGTTGCCCGTCATTCTCATTTTGTTTTCGCTTCGTCGTCACTTTCTGCTTAAATACAGAAGCGAGAGGGAAGGCTACCACGAAGTCCGTAACACGTCCCTTCGATAGACGTTTTAG